TAATAATAATTTTTTAATATAACATTTACGGATATCATAAAAATGGGAGTGAGAGACATCTATAACTGAAATCGGCAATTACTTAGTTGCCAACCCAATAATTTATTATTACGCGATTACACGAAACTAATTTATTCAATCTTCGTACTGTTTACTATTCTCCCTAGTGAGAGAAATATTTTACCAAACGTTTTTCCTACTTGATATCTTTTAATGTTTATATTTCATATTTTATCGCAGTTCTATATCTTCGAATTTCACGTCTCAAACAGCTATGAATTTTACAGCGGAGCACGTACGGCCGGTCACGAAAATATTCGGACACCTTTAAAACGGAATAACTTGTTTAAAATTGGACCAAGCAACTTGAATTCTTTTAAATGATAGAAGAACTAGTCTGTTAGACAATGGTTGGAACATTGTTTCTAATAATTGATTAGGATGATAATAAAATTAAAAAATGATGTCTTTTCACATTTTTTATCCGAGTTTGTAGCGAACATTTAAACATTGCCTTGTGCAGATCTTGGTAATTTATAGGAATACTGAAAATTTCGTCGAAATCGGCCAACCTTGTTATGAGATATAAACAATTAATGATTGCGGGAAACCTCCCTCGTGAGATAATTATTCCGACGAATACTTTTTGGTCGAATATTTCATTCGAATAACGATTAACCATTATTCGTCACAAATTGTTCCATCTATTTAAAATCATTCGAATAATTCTTTAATCGAATAGAGATTTCATAATTATGAGAATAATTCTTTGCTCGAATAAATCATGCCAATACAGATCGTAAAATTATTCGAATATAGAATGTAAAATTGTTTGAGTAATTCTTCATTCGAATAAGTTATTCCAATATAGATTGCGAAATTATTCGAACAATTCTATATTCGAGTAAATTGTTCGAATAATTCTTCATTCGAATAAGTTACTCGAATATAGATTGTGAAACTATTCGAATGGATTATTTGAATAGAGATTGTAAAATTATTCGAATAGATTATTCAAATATAGATTGTGAAATTATTTGAATAATTCTTCATTGGAATAAATCCTGTCTCTTATACACATCTAGATGTGTATAAGAGACAGGATTTATTCCAATGAAGAATTATTCAAATAATTTCACAATCTATATTTGAATAATCTATTCGCTGTCTCTTATACACATCTAGATGTGTATAAGAGACAGGATTTATTCCAATGAAGAATTATTCAAATAATTTCACAATCTATATTTGAATAATCTATTCGCTGTCTCTTATACACATCTAGATGTGTATAAGAGACAGGATTTATTCCAATGAAGAATTATTCAAATAATTTCACAATCTATATTTGAATAATCTATTCGCTGTCTCTTATACACATCTAGATGTGTATAAGAGACAGGATTTATTCCAATGAAGAATTATTCAAATAATTTCACAATCTATATTTGAATAATCTATTCGCTGTCTCTTATACACATCTAGATGTGTATAAGAGACAGGATTTATTCCAATGAAGAATTATTCAAATAATTTCACAATCTATATTTGAATAATCTATTCGCTGTCTCTTATACACATCTAGATGTGTATAAGAGACAGGATTTATTCCAATGAAGAATTATTCAAATAATTTCACAATCTATATTTGAATAATCTATTCGCTGTCTCTTATACACATCTAGATGTGTATAAGAGACAGGATTTATTCCAATGAAGAATTATTCAAATAATTTCACAATCTATATTTGAATAATCTATTCGCTGTCTCTTATACACATCTAGATGTGTATAAGAGACAGGATTTATTCCAATGAAGAATTATTCAAATAATTTCACAATCTATATTTGAATAATCTATTCGCTGTCTCTTATACACATCTAGATGTGTATAAGAGACAGGATTTATTCCAATGAAGAATTATTCAAATAATTTCACAATCTATATTTGAATAATCTATTCGCTGTCTCTTATACACATCTAGATGTGTATAAGAGACAGGATTTATTCCAATGAAGAATTATTCAAATAATTTCACAATCTATATTTGAATAATCTATTCGCTGTCTCTTATACACATCTAGATGTGTATAAGAGACAGCGAATAGATTATTCAAATATAGATTGTGAAATTATTTGAATAATTCTTCATTGGAATAAATCAGTCTAATAGAGATTGTGAAATTATTCAAATAATTATTAATTCGAATAAATTACTCGAATATAGATTGTGAAATTATTCGAATAATTCTTCATTGGAATAAATCAGTCTAATAGAGATTGAAAAATTATTCGAATAATTCTTCATTCGAGTAAATTATTCAAATACAGATTGTGAAATTATTTGAATAATTTTTCATTGGAATAAATCAGCCTAATAGAGATTGTGAAATTATTCGAATAATTCTTTATTCGAATAAATTACTCGAATATAGATTGTAAAATTATTCGAATAAATGATTCGAATAGTGACTGAGCGTTCGATCAATACACGCTACATAAATACCGAAACAGTTCGAATAATACCGAACTGTGTTTCGATCCCGTCACGTTGACGGGACCCGTGAAGCTAGTAGTGTTAACGTAAAGCTTGTGTTGCTCTCGAAAATCGCCAAGACTCGATCGTGGACCGTTCATTTTCCTCTAAATCATCAAGAACCGTGGAAACCGATCCATTTCCGGCGTCTATCCGATAAATGTCATCGATTTCTATATCACGGGTCCCGTAGAACGTTCTCGATCTCTGACTGGAACGAACGCGACAGGGAGGGGTGGGGGTAGCGGATTAATTAATCGGCGCCGATACAGCGTGTCAATCGGAAGATCGATTAAGATCAACGTGCTCCGGAGTAGCTTCGTCAGTCTCAGGAGGTCGTACCGATCGGCGGGCTCAGCCCGGCCGTTAATTAATTTCCGGCCTAACGAACTCCCCCGCGTATGATTCGCGCAGCTTGTCGGCCGTCGCGTCGATCCAGAGCGAAAGTAATTTCCCAGACCTGATACAGATGCGGCCTGGCCCCGACTCGATATCGAGAAAATCCGGGAGATCCCGGGAGTAATTAAGCTTTCAGATTTCTTCTTGACCCCGCGGCTGCTTTCTTTCGAAAATCCAATCCTTGATCCGGCCCCCCCTCGGCTCGATCCTGCCGCGAACCACCGAGTCCGCCACACCGGTCACCCATTCGGATTTCATCGAATTTTAATCGCTGCCGTTCCGAAACCGGCCCGTTATCATTAGCAACGTCGTCCGGCGTAGATCCGAGGCCGGAGATCTCGCCGCTTCGTTATGTTAACGAGAGGCCATTATGCGCGTCGTTATCATAAAACATTTCGATCTCTAAATATTCTCGACAAGAACATTCAAGGCTGACGGCTGTATTGGCAAAGTGATTAACAAATTTCGGGCTATTTTTTACGGTTCCCCCGCATCGCGCAGTGTTGCGATTAATGCTAATCAACTGCACGAAACTCGTAACTTAATTTCGTAGAAAAAACAGTTGCTCGCCCTACGAAGCAATGTTTGTACAACGAGAATATTAACGTTCCTCTGCCGTTTTATATCAACACAAATGAATTAATATTTTAAATAAATAAATTGATACATTTAAATGAATTAATACATTATATTACATTTCTTAAGACAATAGTACAAATATGTGCCAGTTCTTGTTTGAGAATAACATCAGTCGATGTTATTGAAATAGCTTTTACATTTGGTTTTTCATAACTTGAAATAAATTTGTATAATGTAAACCAATGGCGAAGGCACGTTTGATAGTTTTAATTAATTCCGTTAATTATTTTGATTACTTAGGTTAAGCTTTTCAATATAAAAACAGTTGAAAGTAGACTATAAAAGCTAATAACCTATATATATAATATAGCTAATATATAACTAATAAATTATAGAAATAGATTTTCAATACAAATATTAATCGACTTTATGTAGGAATAAGGTCAATTATAATAATTTTGTAATATAAAATGTAATTATAAAGGATTTTTGTCGTAGACTGAAATTATAATAAAGTTTTAGTAGAAATTTAAATTACAGTAGATTTTTAATAGCAATTTAAATTATG